CACATCATCAACTACGTTCCCATAGCCTACTGAAAACTCTCCCAAAAGTGGATCGTGAACCAGGGATCCCGATCCGATACTATAGATAAAGGTACCTTGTGCAATCGGACTATCTCCGAAATATACAACCTACAAAATTCCTCCAATGTGATGGTCATTCGCTCAACTAAAAAGTGTGTCGACTTCACAAGTCGGTCCACTATCATTCACACTGCATTATGCCCCTATGATGTCCATAGTAAGTGGGTCACAAAATCTATAGTGACATGTTCTCACCTCTATTTTGCCTCCTCCAAAGGCGGAAGCAACCCCGTTGGTCTCTGGTGCTTAGTCTTAATCTACTGACACGTGAGACATTGACTATTAAAGTTTTCAATGTGTCTCTTCATCCTGCTTCAATAGTCCTAGCAGCGAAGATCATGGTACATCTTTGTGCCACCTAGATGTATAGCAAAATGGGAGCAATGAACCTTCCTAAGAATTTTCTCTCTCAGATCCATAGACTGGGGAACCAAAACCCTTTCCTTGAATCGAAGATTACTATCTGTGTGAATGGCCTAGCCCTTATCTCCCGTACCTGACAATACCCGAACCCTGATGGATAATATCTCTATGTCTTGCCCCTGGGACTCGATTAATCTAGTTAGTAGGAAAGGCAGAGCCACCAAACTCCCCAAAGTACCCTAAGTCTAACTCCTATAGTGTAGTCTGAACTGCCCCATAGTCTCGATAGGATTTCCAAGGCAATCTTCTATACAAAAACTGGACCTAAGGACTGGGTATTGACAAGTTAGGATTGTAGAGGGATATGAGTCTAAGATTGCGTATGTGACGTGTTGTGGGTCTTTTGAATTCCTTATAATGCTATTTGGGCTTACAAATGCCTCAGAAACTTTCCACAATCTAATGAATGATGTCTTTTATAAGTATATTGATGTCTTTATGGTTGTGTATTTGGATGATATTATGGTCTACAGTGAGACATTGGATGATCACTTAAACCATTTGAGGACGATGTTCTCACGATTTAAAGAGCACTTGTTGTATGTCAAAAAGGAGAAATGTGAATTCTACCATCAAGAAGTGATGTTCTTGAGGTACTGAGTTAGTAAAGGCCAAATTTGGATGGATAAGATGAATGTGAAGGTAATCGTCGATTGGCCTGCACGAACCAAGGTGCCTTAACTGTGGTCATTTCTTGTCCTAGCTAATTATTATCGCAAGTTCATTGAGGAATATTTCAAGAAGTGTAATGTCTTAACTGGCTTGCTAAATAAAGATAAAAAATGAGACTGGAATGGTGCCTGTGAGACAACTTTTGAGAAGCTGATACATGTAGTAGCTTCTGCACCTATGTTGAGACTGGTTAACTTTGATCTTCCATTCAAAGTGTAGACAGATGCGTCTGATCGTGCCATTGGAACAACACTTGTTCAGAAAGGACACCCTATTGCCTTTGAAAGCCATAAATAAAAAGATACTGAGCAGTGATACTCAGCACACGAGAAGGAAATGACTGTTGTGGTGCACTGCCTTAAAATTAAGAGGCATTACTTCTTGGGAACAAAGTTCACCATTGTGACGGACAACATGGAGAACACCTATGTCAAATCCTAGAAGATATTGACCCCGAAGTATGCCCAATAACAAGAATTCCTTGCTAAGTACGATTTTTTTTTACTGTCAAATATGCAGACTAACTTCCTTGTAAGAGTCAAAAAGTATGTCTAGACTGATGTTGCTTATGACAAATTGAAGCAGGAAGTTGGCGAAGGTCAGATGCGCAAATATTGGTTGGATGATGACTTGATTTATGCCAAAGGTGGTAAACTCTATGTTCCTGCAAGATGGGAACTAAGGCTAGAGTTACTATGTGAAACACACGAGTCTCAGTGGGCTGGACATCCCAGAGTAGAGAGGATGCTTGCATTGTTATCTCGCTTCTATTACTGGGCCAAAATGGAAGATGACGTTAAGGCCTATGTCAGGACTTGTCTTGTGTGACAACTTGACAAGGTTGAAAATAAGAAGACAACTAGTTTACTTCAGCCACTGCCCATCTCTAACAAACCGTGACAATTAGCCATAATGGATTTTATAAGCAACCTACTAAAGGTTGATGACATGTGTTCAATCATGGTGGTGGTCAATCATTTCTCCAAGTATGTTGTGTTCGTTCTTGCACCTCATGCATACCCTGTAAATGTTGCTGCATAATTATTCTATAAGTATGTGGTGAATTGATTTAGTTTGTCGAATACATAGTCAGTGATCGCGACACAAGGTTCATTGTCATATTCTGGACAGTGTTGTTCAACCTCATGGGTTTTGAGTTAAAGTTCTCCATAGCAATTTATCCTCAAACAGACGTACAGACTAAGTAGATCAATGCCTTGCTGGGGGATTATCTGCAGCAACATAGTCAGAAAAATTAGGTGGAACTGGTGGACACTACTTATTTTTGTTACAACTTGCACAAATCTTCGGCTACAAGAATGAGTTCTAGTGAATTAGCTATGGGACAACAACCATTTACTCCTCAAGAAGTGGTGAAAACAAAGGACTAGAGGTAAATGTCCCGCTACATATTGATTTGCTCGTTCCAAGCAAGAGTTGCTTGACGAGGCAAAGGATAGCTTGGCTAAAGCTACCCTCTGAATGAAGAAGTATGTTGATTAAGGTTGCAGACCGCTGAAATTTCATATTGGTGACCTAGCCTTGCTAAAATTGACTCCTGTAATATGAAAAAGGATCAACAGTAAGGTAGTTATGTTCCGAAATAAGATGACCCTTTCAAAGTGATGAAAAAGGTTAGGAATGTTGCCTATTACTTGAAGCTGCCTGATCGAGTTTTCTGAATCCTTTTCCATCATAGACCACAAACAAAAGCCTTTACTAGACTAAGAAAGGTGGCCTCAAAAAAGCTTTTCAAAAGACTTGACCCTCGAAGAGCTGACCCAAGCAAGGGCATTTCGGTAGTTGGTGGGTCAAGACCAGTTGGGGATTTTTCTAAGGCTCCTTTTGACCTCAGCTCCATAACTAACACTGATACAAAGAAGGAGACCAGACTAGGGGAGGAGAAAAGGAAGAAAGTCAAGGGATTCATTCTTGCCTATAATTAGGAAACAGTTTGATAAGGAGGTCGACAAGATTTTGTCTCATAGGACCATGGGTTAGAGTAAGAAGAATTAGAGGACTGATTTTCTAGTATTGGAAGGTGGTTTCGAGGCAGACGTGAATTGGGAAAGAGATGTGACTCTTTGATAGTTTGAGAAACAAATCAAGAAGTATTGAGACAACTTCTTAACGAAGACGTCGAGCTCTTCTAGTGGGCGTGGTTTATTACTCCCTTAGTTCGTTGGCTTGGTATTGACATGTGGCTGCCTTGCCTAAAAGCACCCATGCCTTAGCCAAATTGGGTTATACTTGGTGAAGTAAAACTTTAGTGCAAAGTTGATTTCCTAAGGACTTGGATGTTTACTTGGTTGAGTAACAAAGTGATTCAGAAAAGGCTCAAGTGACATGTAGCGATTATGCCTCTGACTCAAGTTGTTATAATTTCTCGGCTCAGAGTATATTCATTGCTATCAATGCGTTTTTGCTAATGCTATTATAAGGGGGTGCTCCGCAAAGGCGGTACTAGGTCAACCTCCTTAGGGACCCTTATACTCTTAAGCCTTAACACAACAAAGCAAGACATGTCCTCAAACAAATGTTTGCTATGGGTGAGGCAAGACATTCCAAAGTTTGAGACTCGAGATGTGGGGCCGATGATCAATGAAACCCGTTGTTGGGAGAAGCCCCATGCATGGCTAAGGAAGACAGTTCATGCATGGGCACATTAGGCATGACTAGTGGGTTGATTGAAGCCCCATGCATAGCTAAGGGAGACAGCTTATGCATGGGCATATTGGGCACAATCAAGCAAGCAAGACTAGTTGGGGTGACTCAAATTTATGGGGCATTGCTAGCTTGGAAAGACCAAGCCATGAGCTGGATATGACTTGACATGAAGACAATGCTAATTTAGGTGTTGCGAGCTCGCAAGAAAGACACATGCATAACATGTGAGGTGATTCTGAACGATTGAGGCATGTGCCCTGCAGGTGGTAGCGGTTCTAGATAGTTGTTGGGATGTGCTTGACATGCATGTCGATTTTGTGTAGAATACTGACATGTGCACAATATGAGGGAATTGCTAACATGTGCACACATCATGCACAACAGTTATGGGCAGTTGCTGGTTAAGTCAGCTAACAATTGCCCCTTTATCAGAACCATCAAATTGTGGGAGTGACAAAAGGTTTTAGCCATGATCAGTAGGGTCTTGTGGCCGAATTTGATGTATGCTTACATTGCTTAGCCGATTGGGCATGTAACCACCATTTTGTATACTATATAGGTAGGTTGGGGTTTGTAGTGCAACCAAGAGAGTTGAGCGTGTTTTATAAGTAGACCCCTGACTAAGTTTCCTTTAGGCTTTACTGAGAAAGAAACAAATTTGGCCAATTGACTAGTAAAACTTGTGTACTGTTGTGAGTTTGTGTGCTTACCTACCTTTTGTTCGTGTGTGCATTTGTGTGAGTATTTAAGTGCATTGATTGAGACTGAGTGTGAGATTTCAGTGCTATCATCATACAACAAAAATTTGAGTAAAAATAGACCCTGTGACTCACCTTTTTGGTTACAACCCCCCCCCCCCCCCCTTCTCTCCACATCAAACAGTGGAATCCAGCTCCGCAAAGCGGATCTTAAAAAAAAAAAATGTAAAACATAAAAGCAGAAAGGAAATCCTAACCCTAGCTGGGACCTGCGCGTTCTCTATGTACGCACATACATTTTCTCTCTGGACGAATATATATTTCTGCATACTTGACGAAAAAAATATACCTTCATATCCGTTGGTTTCTTCGTACGGTAAAGCTATTGCGGTTAGGGTTAGGTTTAGGATGTGGTAATGGAATGCCGGAGGGGGGTGGTGGACGTGGCCGGTGGAGACGATGACGGGAGGCCGATGTCAGCAGCGGCGGAATATGACGGTGGCGATGGGTTGCGGGGTCCAAGAGAAACCATGCCCAATATCTAGGGTTTCTTCTAAGTCCCAACCAAAACGCCCTCGAATCTCGAGAAAATTACTCCAATTACCATTGATTTCTATATACAGGCCAAAAAAGCTCTATCCAAGCGTTCGCCCTTCGATTCCGAGGATGTCCAGGTTTCCACTGTCCTCAGTCTTCCCAGTGGGTTGGCCAGCTGGTTGTCGAAGTATTCCGATGGTCGGAAACTGCAGAAGAAGTCGCATTCGGGATCGGAAAAGAAGGGGTCGACGCCCAATGGGTCTGAGAAAGTCCGTGGATCAAACATTTGGGTTGAGACCGAAGAGTATTTCAGAGAATTAACTGTGGATGATATTGAAAAATTGTGTGAGGTATCAAAAATCGGATTTTCGGGTACTGAGAAGTGTTTTCGAATTCCGTCACGGGGAAATGAAAGCAGTGTTCGAGATTACACGTGCAATGGTCACATTGCAGACAACCCCAGTGGTGTTAGTGGACATGGGGTTGAATTGGATTCCAGGGTCGGTGTGAAAGGAGAGGCTGAAGAGGAAAGTGAGCAGTTTATGGAAGTTGATACTGTAGGAGCTAATGAATTGGTTCAACAAGATAAGGGTAGTTCTTTGCCTCAATCATCGGTGCCTTGTAGTGGTTTCGAATGGTTATTAGGTTCTAGGAGTAAGATTTATCTCGCCTCAGAGCGGCCTAATAAGAGACGGAAGCTTTTAGGTGGGCATGCAGGGTTAGATAAACTACTGGTTGCTTGTCCAGTTACAGGGTCATCTTCTTTATGCCATTATTGTAGTTTGGGTGACATGGGCGACCAGTTAAACCGGATTATTGTTTGTAATTCTTGTGGTGTGGCAGTTCATTGGAGATGTTATGGTGTGCATGATGATGTGGATGGTTCTTGGTTATGTTGTTGGTGTAAGCGGAGGAAAGAGGTTCTAGCTAGTGATAGGCCTTGTTTACTTTGCCTAACCAGGGTGGTGCTTTGAAACCTGTTCGGAAGAGGGGTTTTGGAAGTGAAAATGGCGGGTCAGTGGAGTTTGCTCACTTGTTTTTGTTGTCAGTGGATGCCTGAGGTCTATGTAGAGGATACTAGGACAATGGAGCCGATTGTAAATCTTGAAGGAATGAAAGAAACTCGGAAAAAATTAATTTGTTATTTATGCAAGGTGAAGTGGGGTGCTTGTGTTCGGTGCTGTGACGGTATGTTTTGTTGCTTATTTTACACCACTCTGCACTTTTGTTGGATGGTACACCAGGACAGCATTTTAGTAATTGAAGTCAATTGTTACTTAACATTATGCTGTTTCTAAAGTATAGTGTTGTACCTTGACGTCTTTGATTTTATGTTTGACTTCTGTATATTCCCTGCGGAGCCGGTGGACTAGGTCGCTCCTTATCCGTTGAACTCTATTTTAATCTTACAACAAATGTAAATGGAATGAATGCATAAAATTTCTGTTTGTTCCCTCCCTTTATCGTTTCCTATCTCTATAGATTTTTAAAGCATAATAGTCTAAATGAACTTGCTATAAAATTAAGTTGTATTGTTCTATCTAAGTGGTTTGTATAATGAGGGGTGTGTGAAATTGGTAATATATTTGAGTGTTTAAATATAGTATTTAAGTAGAGTTGGATGATCCTTTTCCTGCCTTTATTTTTGTTGCCAGAAGTGTGGCTTGGACTTTTTTATTTATTAATAGCATGCATCAGCAGTGCGTGCTTGGAAATATGAGTGGAGGGATTTTGTAGGAACAAAGTGTCCCACTATCTCACATTTCTTTCAGCATGTAGGTTATGTTTGCTGCAACTTTTTAGAAGCCAAAGCAGCTTCTTTAAAGACAATTTTTGACACACTTGGAGAACTTCAGAGATGTTACAGATGGTGCATACTTTTCTCATGCAAAAACGAAATTCCTAAGACAAGCCCTTCCTAGATGAGCAATGCTAGTGGTACCTAATTTGAAGACATGATATAGTGTGACTTTGGATTAAGATGGGTCCCCGTATTTAATGAAGTCCACTATCAATTCAATACTCATAATGCATTAGGTCCCAAAATAAATGAAGCATTTCAAAGGCATTTTCACCATATGCAACTGTTTAGACCAGTGTTTCAATAATGAAGGAATTATGGAGGGCCCGGTGCAAGAAAAATTGCTCTAAAAGATCCAATTTTGATGACAAGACTATTAGCAAACTAAGTTGCTTTTATAGGAAGTTAGGAGGAGAGGAGAGCTTAGTGTCTTGATCATTGAGGTTATGGAAGGAATTTGAGCATGAATGTTGGAATTATCCTTTTGGAACATGTTGCTGA